TGATGAAGCATACATATTTTTGTAACATTAATTACAGTAAAAAAACTAATATTCTACAACACTCTTTTATAAATACGATGTTGTCGTAACAGATATCCCCAACCTTAAGTGTTACACGGTATCTTTGACACACCAGTTGTCAACGTGATAGAATATTCTTGTAAATGCCTCCCTTTTATATGTTTTAATAGTGAATTAAGTAAACACAAATCTACATAATGGATTTAGAATGTGTTCCCACATATAGCTTGTATATACAAACAAGCCAGGTCCACAAAGCACTCCTTCCGCAGTTAGAGATCACTCCAGTGGACTGTCCAGGTCACAGACTGCAAGTGATTGTGGGCTTGCATTTAATCGTCCAAGATCACCCTTGAATGCTCTGTCACGAGTGGACATTGGTGGAAGTGCAGATATTGAATTTGTGGGCAGGGCTTGAGCACAGCCTCCCACTGCGTTGTCTGTCAGACGAGGGCAGTGGTCCATGCGCAACTCCTCCAAGGATTTGGAACATGCCCCATTCACCAGCGCATTCACAGCTTCGTCTGTCACCTGCGTTTCAGCAAAGTTGATGCAGCTCAAGGACACAGCCTCCCACTGCGTTGTCTGTCAGACGAGTGCAGTGGTCCATGCGCAACCCCTCCAAGAATTTGGAACATGCCCCATTCACCAGCGCATTCACAGCTTCGTCTGTCACCTGCGTTTTAGCAAAGTTGATGCACCTCAAGGACACAGCCTCCCACTGCGTTGTCTGTCAGACGAGTGCAGTGGTCCATGCGCAACCCCTCCAAGGATTTGGAACATGCCCCATTCACCAGCGCATTCACAGCTTCGTCTGTCACCTGCGTTTCAGCAAAGTCGATGCACCTCAAGGACGAGGAGGCACGCACCAGGGCACTGGGAGAGGCATCGCCCAGTCGATGTCAGCTTCTCGGGTTAAGGATCCATAGCTGTGGGGAGGATGCAGCCGGCTTTATTATTTAAATGCAATCCCACTCCAGCGCTGTCCTACCAGACAGTCTCGTCCCTTCACCCGATGAAGGCCGCTTGTGTTGTGGCCGAAACGTCGTGAGAATATTCTTGTGTTATTTTATTTTATCAAGTTATTATTTTATTCTCATTCTACGTGGTGGTGACTTTACCGAAAGAACCAAAGAAGCTTTATTATTGCCCGCTCGGCGAGCTCTGTGCGCTGCGTCAATTCCACGTCCCGCAGCAATTTGGCAACAGCAGCAGCATTAGCAGCAGCACCACGCCGCTGCTAATGCCTCCGCATTGGCGTCGTTCAGTACGGATACGGTGAAGGCGCTTGCATGAAGTCAAGTTGCCTCAGGGCTCTCAGCCGTGATTCTCCACCCGAGAGGAGTTCAACTTCTTCACCTGAGGGTTCACAAAGTTGCCGATGTTCTGGTGGGTGGCCTCTCCTTGCTTGACCAGCAGGTTGAGGAGTTTGGTGTTGACGTTTTGCGGCAACTGCTCCACCTCCCCCCGGAGTAGCTGTGGCAATGCACGCGCCACAATCTGCAAACTCGCAGGTCTCTCTCATTCCTTCCTTTGTTTTGTTTTACGATCAGAGGAAACAAGACGAAGATGCTCGGTGTAGCCGGCACTTTGCTCCGTTCATCATTTCGGGTTTTTTGTTTTAATGCTTTGCTTTGTGTAACCCCCCGCCCACTCCTTTTAAATTAAAGACACAAAATGTGTTTTTATTTGTTTTTCCTTTCCCCTTCCCTCTCTCTCTACCCCCCTCTCCACCCCCCTCTCCGCCCCCCCTCTCTCTCTACCCCCCTCTCCGCCCCCCCCTCTCTCTCTACCCCCCTCTCCGCCCCCCTCTCCGCCCCCCCCTCTCTCTCTACCCCCCTCTCTGCCCCCCCTCTCTCTCTACCCCCCTCTCTGCCTCTCCTCTCTCTCTCTACCCCCTCTCTCTCTACCCCTCTCTGCCCCCCCTCTCTCTCGACCCCCTGTCTGCCCCCCCTCTCTCTCTACCCCCTCTCTGCCTCTCCTCTCTCTCTACCCCCCTCTCCGCCCCCCCTCTCTCTCTACCCCCTCTCTTCCCCCCCTCTCTCTCTCTACCCCCTCTCTCTCTACCCCCTCTCCGCCCCCCCTATCTCTCTACCCCCTCTCCGCCCCCCCCCTCTCTCTCTACCCCCTCTCTTCCTACTCCATTTGGCTCTCTCTCGCTCGCTCTCTTGTTTCTTTATAACTACGACAAGTGCTGCATCTGCACGCAGCCCTTCCCACAGTCAAACGGCCTCCGACGGGTAGCTCACAATGTGCACGCACAGAGAGCTCTCTAACGTCATCCGCCACCGAGCACGCGGCCTCCTTCAACGCCCACTTGCTCCTTGAAGGCCGGCACGGCGTGGGTCAGCCGTGCACGGCGGAACTCCGGGCCCACACCGCACCCTGGCTCCGACCAGAGCGCGGAAGATGCCCAGGCTGCTGGCTGGACGTTGCCCCTCCAGGGCCACCTCCTCATCCTCCTCCTTCAAAGATAAAGATCCCCCCGTGTAGCCTCGAACAGAATGTTGGGGCAAGTGCTGTTAGCGAGCACATATGAAGGCTGGCACTGTGGCACACGAGGGGGTGGGTGACCAGCACCATGCCCGGCCGCCTTCGTCTCCCCAGTGGCAATGTTTACTACACACCGCTCCAGGTACTCAATTGAGGCTGAGTCGACCTAGGGGAGGCCCAGGACCGGTTCAGATCATTGCTATCACTTGTGTTGGCCGTGAGCGGGAATCAATCTCGGGTCGCCGGGTTTGTAGAGCAGAGCGCCAACAGCTGCGCCACCGCTCCCCATACACAGAGACACATCAACAACAACAACAACAACCGCCATTCGCCACTAAGTGGCGGTGACGTCACCACGACGCTTGTGCCAGGCTATGTGCACCTTGAGGCCACGTGAAGTGTCGACCGCCCGCTGGCAGGAGGTCACGGGGCAGACCCAGGTGCCACGTGTCGACTGACTGAGATGACTGGCTGATGCACCACCTGTGCCCCCTACTGTGCCAATCTGCTGTGCTTTAGCCACCCGGCGCTCCGCTCGTTGTTGTGAGCGTCGCTCCTCCGCCCTCCGTTGTTGTTGGAGGGCGACTGCCTCCAACTGCCCAGTAGCGTCCTTCACGAGCCTCCTCCACAGAGGCCGATCTTGACACCGCTGGTACCAGTCATCGGCAAGTCCACTCAGCTCCACGTCCTCCTGTACCACATCACTCCATCTCTTCTCTAGCCCGTGCCGCGCCCGTTTAGCCCCCTCAATCCGGCCGAACAAAAGCTGTTTCGGCATGCGGTGGCTGGGCATGCGGGCTACATGACCCAGCCATCGCAGCCTTGCCCGCCGGAGGAGCTCACTGATGGGACCTTGCCCAGATCTTTCAAGGATTTGTGAGCTTCTCACATAATCCAGCCTGGTTAAACCCAGGATGGATCGTAGGCAGGCCAGCCTAAATGTTTCTAACCGGCGAAGATGTTCCATTAGGGGTGTCCATTAGGGGGGCCGAGAAGACCTGAAGCTTCGTGCGGAGTGATAGACCAGGTAGCTTCCACACAGCCTTACGCAACCGATTACAGAGACACATACACAGAGACACAGAGATACATACACAGAGACACAGAGACACATACACTGAGACACATATACAGAGACACATACACAGAGACACATACACAGAGACACATACACACATACACAGAGACACATACACAGAGACACATACACAGAGACACATACACAGAGACATACAGAGAAACAGAGAGACACATACACAGAGACACATACACAGAGACACAGAGACACATACACAGAGACACAGACACACATACACAGAGACACATACACAGAGACATACACAGAAACACAAACACACATACACAGAGACACATACACAGAGACACAGAGACACATACACAGAGACACATACACAGAGACACATACACACATACACAGAGACACATACACAGAGACACATACACAGAGACACATACACACATAAACAGAGACACATACACAGAGACACAGAGACACATACACAGAGACACAGACACACATACACAGAGACACATACACAGAGACACATACACAGAGACACATACACAGAGACACAGAGACACATACACAGAGACACATACACAGAGACACATACACAGAGACACAGAGACACATACACAGAGACACATACACAGAGACACATACACAGACACATACACAGAGACACATACACACATACACAGAGACACATACACAGAGACACAGAGACACATACACAGAGACACATACACAGAGACACATACACAGAGACACATACACCGAGACACAGAGACACATACACAGAGACACATACACAGAGACACAGCGAAACAGAGAGACACAAACAGATGCAAGGCTGCGCTGATTCGGGAGAGAGAGTGGGGGAAGAGGGGGAGAGAGAGGGGAGGGAGAGAGAGGGGGGAGGGAGAGAGAGGGAGCGCTCCCATTGTGTGTGGAGAGAGGAGAGAGCGGCAGGGAGAGCGAAGACCTCGAGAGAGACAGAGACACAGAGACACAGAGAGAGACACAGAGACACAGAGAGAGAGACACACAGAGAGACACACAGAGACACACACAGAGAGACACACAGAGACACACACACAGAGAGAGACACACAGAGACGCACACAGAGAGAGACAGAGACCCAGACACACACACAGAGAGAGACACAGAGACACACACAGAGAGAGACAGAGACCCAGACACACACACACAGAGAGACACACAGACACACACAGAGAGAGAGACACACAGAGAGACACACAGAGACACACACAGAGAGAGACACACAGAGAGACACACAGAGACACACACAGAGAGACACACAGAGAGACACACACAGAGAAACACACATAGACACACAGAGAGAGAGACAGAGACCCAGACACACACACACAGAGACACACAGAGACACACACAGAGACAGAGACCCAGACACACAGAGAGGTAGAGAGAGAGACACAGAGACACACAGAGACACAGAGGTAGAGAGAGAGAGACACACACACAGAGACACACAGAGAGACACAGAAACACACAGAGAGACACAGAGACACAGAGAGACACACAGAGACACAGAAAGAGACTGAGATTGGGCCGTGCATCACAATGGAGACGACGACTACTGACGTGACGCCCGTGAAAACACGTAAGGCTCTCTCGTGTACACACACACACACGTGCACACACACACACACACGTGCACACACACAGCCACGTGTACACACACGTGTACACACACACACGTGTACACACACACACACGTGTACACACACAGCCACGTGCACACACACAGCCACGTGTACACACACATATACACACACTGACACGTGTACACACACACGTGTACACACATATACACAATGTACACACACTGACACGTGTACACACACGTGCACACACAGCCACGTGTACACACGTATACACGTGTACACACGTATACACACGTGTACACACACACACATATGCACACACTGACACGTGTACACACACACGTGTACACACACACATATACACACACTGACACGTGTACACACACGTGTACACACACACGTGTGCACACATATACACACACTGACACGTGTACACAGACATGTACACACACATATACACACTGACACGTGTACACACACGTGTACACACACACACGTGTACACACACATATACACACACTGACACGTGCACACACACGTGTACACACACGTGTACACACACATATACACACACTGACACGTGCACACACACGTGTACACACACACGTGTACACACACACATATACACACACTGACACGTGCACACACACGTGTACACACACGTGTACACACACATATACACACACTGACACGTGCACACACACGTGTACACACACACACGTGTGCACACACATATACACACACTGACACGTGCACATACACGTGTACACACACACGTGTACACGCACTGACACGTGTACACACACAACAACCGCCATTCACCACAAAGTGGCGGCGACGTCACCTTGGCGCTTGTGCCAGGCTAGGTGCACTTTGTTGTTGTGATAGTCGCTCCTCTGCCCTCTTTTGTTGCTGGAGGATGACAACTGGCCAGTAGCAGCGTCCATCACGAGATTGGTCTCCTCCTCCACAGAGGCCGACCTTAACTCTGCTGGTACCGGTCATCGACAAGTCCACTCAGCGTGCCTGGCAAGGCGATGTTGAATAATCCTTGCCAGGACCTTTCCTGGGACACTGAGGAAGGGGATGCCCCTGTAGTTGTTACAGTCTGTCTGGGTCCCCCTCTTAAAGAGGAGGACCACCAGGGCATCCAATCCTGCAGAACCCATCCTGTGGTCCAGACAGTTGTGACGATGTCACGTGGGACAGTCTGTACACAGACGCCACTTTCCCTGATCTCAGACTCCGGGTTAACCCCTGGAACTACCTCCACAGATGGCCCCGCAGCCAGACACTCAGAAGGGGTGGACACTTCTGCCAATGTTTGAGGCAGGGCAGCCCCGGCAAGACCATCCCCACCTTGCCCCATGATTGCTGATGGGCTGAGGGAGGAATTCCCCTCTGCCAAGACCTCGTACCAATGCTCTGCAAACCTGCAGACCAGTTGCTCGTTTATGTGATCGTGGGCTACTGAGGCAGAGTCAATCCCTTAAACAACCCGCGCCCAGCACTCATCCTGGTAGCACCACACGGCTCTCCGAGCCTCTGAGCGAAGGCTGCGGTAAGGCTGCTCACTCTCCAATGCTGAATGTTGTAGATGACGGGAGTGGGCCTCTCGCTTTCGCTCACCCAGCTGCAACATTTCCTCCGTCAGCCAGGGCCTCTGGGGAAGTTTGGACTGCGTACCCAATGCAGCCATTGCAGCTGCATGAGCCACAGTCCCAAACGATGCCAACCCCAGCTGCAAGCGATGTTGACATTCTCGCTTGCAACTATCCTCAGCTGGCTGAGACCAGCTTACTGTGGGTTTGAATGGGATCCTAGATAGAAACCCACCACCGCAGTGGAAGAATGGCAGGCGCATCTCATAGATGACAAGCTAATGGTCAGTGGGCAGATCAGCTCCACGGTAGGTCCTAGTGTCAAAGACCTACCACATCTGCTATTCCATCACGATGTAGTCCAGCAGATGTTCTTGCTTGGACCCGGCGTGCATCCATGATGTTGTGTGGATACGCCGATGCCGGAACAGCGTGTTGGTAATTACAAGCCCATGGGCTGCACAGAAGTCTAGCAGCCTCCTACCGTTGTTATTGAGCTGATCTGGCCCATGGCTTCCAATGACTTGACCCAGATGCCAGCGTCATGACCTACTCAGGCATTGAAGTCACCCAACAAGATGACTCTATCCCGAAGGGCCACTTTAGCCAGGACCTGTGACAGGCCAGAGAAGGCATCTGACTCATCGGCCTTGTCTGCATCCCTCCGCTGATGTTCATCTTCGGTGGGGGGGGGCATAAGCAACCACGACCACCATTCCTCGCCTCTTGTTGATGGGGAGGCGAGCCCACAGTAGCTTGTGGCTTACAGCTTTACACACCTCACCGCCACGCTCCCACACCCCCTTTCATTATTTTTTTTATCAACAACAAAAAAGTGCCATTCCCTGTTGTTGGGAAAGTTTCCTGCCCCGAGTGGAGAACTGTCCACCACTCATAATGACTGCAGCCAGAATCGGTTCACCGATACCCGGCAATCTCCAAAAGAGAGGAGTGGCAGCCTCTCCCCCACAAACGAGAGTCGGAACATTCCGCGTGGCCAGTCGCAGTCGTCTCCTGTCCCTGCAGGAACCACGAAAGGGGGAGTTCAGTCTGGCTCGGACAAACGGAGCTTGGCCACAAGGCAAGTTTTCAAGTTTCATTTATTAGGTAGAGCCCTGTGAGCCACGCGGCTCTTAAGTCGCGTGCAACCGCAACAAACTAAATTTGAACACAGAGAAACATCTTAAAGCGACGACGCTCAACAGAAACGTCCAGGAATAAACCAGCAAATATTCCACGCACAAAAAAAACTTACTAAAACGCTGTGTGCAAAAATCACAATGTGGTGCACGCCAACAACAACAACAACCATGAGACAATTTAGATTAACCATATGTTGTCGAATTTCCAAAATAAAGCTACGAAAACAATGTAACAACAGTAATCATAGGAGCTGTGATTTTAAATTTAACAATAAACGATTTACATAACACGTCATCGACGCCTGTCTCGTGGGCCTCTAGCACGAGATCATTGTGGTGGTCCTTGTTGGAAGTGTCTGGTGGAGGGATTACCAGCACCTCGCACACACACACACTAATACAGCTACACATACACACCCTCCACTCACACCACCATACACACAGCCTGCACCACTTACACACACACACTAATACAGCTACACATACACACCCTCCACTCACACCACTATACACACAGCCTGCACCACTTACACACACACTAATACAGCTACACATACACACCCTCCACTCACACCACTATACACACAGCCTACACCACTTACACACACACTAATACAGCTACACATACACACCCTCCACTCACACCACTATACACAGCCTGCACCACTTACACACACACTAATACAGCTACACATACACACCCTCCACTCACACCACTATACACACAGCCTGCACCACTTACACACACACACTAATACAGCTACACATACACACCCTCGACTCACACCACTATACACATAGCCTGCACCACTTACACACACTAATACAGCTACACATACACACCCTCCACTCACACCACTATACACATAGCCTGCACCACTTACACATACACTAATACAGCTACACATACACACCCTCCACTCACACCACCATGCACATAGCCTGCACCACTTACACACACTAATACAGCTACACATACACACCCTCCACTCACACCACTATACACACAGCCTGCACCACTTACACACACACACTAATACAGCTACACATACACACCCTCCACTCACACTACCATACACACAGCCTACACCACTTACACACACACACTAATACAGCTACACATACACACCCTCCACTCACACCACTATACATACAGCCTGCACCACTTACACACACACACTAATACAGCTACACATACACACCCTCCACTCACACCACCATGCACACAGCCTGCACCACTTACACACACACACACTAATACAGCTACACATACACACCCTCCACTCACACCACTATACACACAGCCTGCACCACTTACACACACACACTAATACAGCTACACATACACACCCTCCACTCACACCACTATACACACAGCCTGCACCACTTACACATACACACACTAATACAGCTACACATACACACCCTCCACTCACACCACTATACACACAGCCTGCACCACTTACACACACACACTAATACAGCTACACATACACACCCTCCACTCACACCACTATACACACAGCCTACACCACTTACACACACACACTAATACAGCTACACATACACACCCTCCACTCACACCACTATACACACAGCCTGCACCACTTACACACACACACAGCCTGCACCAGAGACACACAAATACAGAAGAACACACAGAGACACACCCAGACACACACACACAGCAACACAGACACACACATACAGACAGACACACAGACACACGGGGAGAACACACAACTTCCATATATATACAGCAGGCATCGTCAGGGTCTGGGATCAAACCCCCACGGATCTCCTGTACAACAGGCGAGAGAGATAACATCTCATCGCCATCATTGGCTATTAAAACGGAGTACAGAAGGAGTAAAATCTCTCCCCCCCCCCCCTAGTGAGACGCGGTAGCCAGCGGGAGCCTCCTGGCCACGCGTGCTGAGCGGAGCTGTCTGCGGCTGTGCGGGTGACGGGAATAGCGAAGCGGAAATCTGGGGGTCGCAAACAAAAGGAGCCTCTGAGATCTGGAGGGAGGGGGGAAAAAACCTCTGCTCTGGCACCGAGGATTGCCGCTTACTGCGCATGCGCGCGTTGTCTGATCTTTGTTTACAAGATGGGACTCACCACTCAGACTCACCACTCACCACTCAGACTCACCACTCACTCACCACTTAGACTCACCACTCACACTCACCACTCAGACTCACCACTCACCACTCAGACTCACTCACCACTCAGACTCACCACTCACTCACC